CTAGCCGTCTTGTTACGCATTTATTCTGTTCATTGCGATCGCTCGCGTCGACGTAATTTGATACCATCTTTGCCCATTAGAAACCCGAAACAGACCGACCGATTGATCAAGTTCATCTCGAACCCCTGGAACAGGTATTGGCGTGTATGGCAGAACATCAGCTCTTTGCCAACATTGATAAATGTATCTTATGCGCTGGAGAAACCGGTTTTGGGCTGTTTTATCGGCGTGATCACAATCTACCCTTCCTACATGTCCGTAGCTACCTTCCTGCGCGCCCTTCTCGTTCCCTGTGTCTCTGCAGCAGCCGCCTCGAGCTTCTCCCTGCGACACCCCAACACGATGAATGGTCGCGGGGGGAGTTTCGGATGTGATCCAATCACATCCAACACTCAACCCAGTATCTCCCAACCAGATCTTTCCATACTTGAACCGCCGTTCCCAGTCATCATTCGTCAAGTCAGTTCCCTATCTTCGCCGAGCACATGCGCTTGTCCCACGCGCCCCTCCAGACCATCGATCACCTTCACGTCATCAATCGATGAATCCTTGGCTTGTCCAGCTTTCAATACGCGGCGCTACTTCAACACTCCCACTTGACGCTATTCCGCAGCGGGCTTGGCGCGAACTCCACTCGCCGAGCGGAGTACCTGAAGTCGCTTGTTTCCCAGCGGCTTCGTCATTATGTCCGCCATCTGCTTCTCCGTGCCAATATAGTTGACGTCAATAGCCTATCTGGCCACGTTCTCCCGGATGAAGTGATGACAAGGCCACGTGTTTGGTTCTTTTGTTGTAGCCGGCGTTCGACGCCAGCGCGATCGCCCCTTGGTTGTCTTCCTATTTGCGAGTCGCTCCCACTTGCTCATGACCAAGTTCCTTGATCATCGCCCGCACCCAGAGTACTTCTTGAGTGCATAGACTCAGTGCCATGTAATCCGCCTCCGTCGAGTGTTGGACTTGAAGACCACGTCTGACTACGGCCATGATCCCCGACACCGATTGTCGGTCTTCAATATTACTGCCCCAATCCGCGCCCGAGAATCCCTCGACCTTCAGTTCACTGGTGGCCCCTTTGTAGAGCTCACACTGATTTACTGACCCCTTGTACTCGACGAATCGCGGCATTTCCTGCTGACAGTCCAACATGTAAGCCTTGCCCAGTATAATCTATATCTAAAATATCTTTAATTTTTTACTACTCTTCCTCGAGGCAATCAAACTCGTCTTGGCCCAGAGAACACACAAATCCCGTTGAACCACGAGGCTAATCCCGCGTCCTGCTGACTTCCCCACCGACAGCAGTCAGCGATCGAGGCCAGAAATGTGGAGTACCTCCATCATTCGGATGCGCTTGCCGTCGATGCCCTTCAAGCGCACCGACCCGGTTCCCGCCACGCGCAGCTTCTTACCATCAGCGATGGTCATCTCGATGTTCGTGTTTACGACCTCATGCTCAAAGTGGCCGTCCCGGTACGGCGTCATGTGCGACGTCGCACTATTGTCGATCAGCCAGCTTGGCGTCCTTGCTAACATCAAGTCCAGTATTAGACATGCCACTGGTGATCACTGAGTCTTCTGACTCATTCACCGGGCCTGATTCGCTGACCGCGAAAACTGCACCATCGTCACTGCCGTCGACCTTGCTCAGGAAGTCCCGCTTCATATGTCCGTCCTGGTCACAACAAAAGCACTTGCCTCGGAACGCGCCGTTGTTTTTGCGGTCGTTATTCCTGCCGCGTTTGACAAACTTGCCGTTCTTGCCCCTGCCACCATCCGAGGTGACCTTCAACGAGCGCTCCGACGTTTCCTTCTTTTGCAGTCGCTCGTACTCCTTGAGCAACTTCTCCTTTTACCTCGATCAGCGTGATGTCCTTAGACTTCTTGATGATCGACGAGGTCAACTCGAACTCGCTGGGCAGGCTGCTTGGCAATATAACCAACTGACGGGCATCGTCCAGTGATTCGCCGGGCGATTGGAGACCCACGATGATCTCGTCGAATTTGTCGAACTGCTTTGCCCTCGTCGCCTCTCCCTCCATCTTAAACTCATGGAGTCGGCGAGTCGTCACCACACGGTAGTGCATCGTGGTCCGGTTGTAAAACACCCGCAGAATTCCCACGCTTGAATCGCCGAGGTCGCCGAGCAAATCTTCGTCTGATGCTCCAACGACATGCCCTCGGCGATTAAACCGAGCGCCTTCATTTCATTCAGCAGCCACGCCTCCGTCATCTTTGCTTCCAGCTTCACCGTCTTCACATGAACCAGCAGCCCCTTCCTCGACAGCGCCATGCGCATGGCGAACTCCCAGTGCAAGTAGTTGTCGCTTCCCAGGAGGACTACGGCCTTCGTCGTCGACATCGAGGCGGCGTCTTGTAGCTTGAAAGTCTTGTGCGACTATTAACCTGTTGAGTTGTGAAGGGCAAATGCCGAAGTGAATTAGTTAGCAGCTACACAATCTGCCCTTCCTACATGTCCGCAGCTGCCTTCCTGCGCGCCCTTCTTGCTCCCTGTGCCTCTTCACCAGCCGCCCTCGAGCTTCGCCCTGCGATGCCCCGACAAGATGAATGATCGCGGGCGGAGTTTTGGATGTGATTCAATCACATTCAGCACTCAAATATCTCCCAATCAGATCTTGCCATACTTGAATCACCGATCCCGGTCATCATTCGTCGAGTCAGTTCCTTATCTTCGCCGAGCTTGTGCGCGTGCCCCACGCGCCCCTCCAGACCATTGATCACCTTCACGTCATCAATTGATGTTTCCTTGGCTCGTCCAGCTCTCATTACGCGGCGCCACTTCAACATATCACTTTGGCTACACTTTGGATTTTCTGCCGATAGGATTCTTTCAATCTCAAATCAGACGTTTCCGGCCAGCCGCGCGACTTTACATCTGAGAGTCAAAATTTGCAAAATCTTCATGAAGTTGCCAGAGGCAGAATGACTTTACATGGACTTGTGGCAGTCGAAACGCTCTATCGATTCTGTTAGCTGATATAATCAGATAGCATATGCATTGTAAAAGACTATGTTGCGACTAATCTGCGTTTAACGAATGAATATCGTAGCGTGGGATGCACCATAGTTTAAGAAGAGAACTCATTTTGTGCTCATTGTAACCTAGATTTGCTATATCTCGCCTCACCTCACAAGCCAGTCGATGCATTGTTTTTTGTTGAAGACAGCGCAGCGTCTAGGCATCTTGCGCAGGCTTGGAACACATAACGATTCTCATGCTAGACCACACGTGGGGCCTCTTGAAAGAGTTTACATGACGTCGAAACCGGGTGAGTTCACGAGAATCAGCTATGATTGTTTTCCGCCGGCCCTGCTCGGTGATCAAAGGCTGATCCACATTAATGTTGAACAGATAGACGGCCGGTCGGACCATTGAGGCTAGCGTCAGTATCTGGTAAGGTGGAATGAAATCTCTGGCTTCAAAAAAATACTTCAGCAAGATAGTCCTGGTGACATTGCCTTAGATTCTAGTGCGCTCATTTTCTCTACCGAAAGAAAGGGCTTGAATTGTGCAACGCGCTCTAAACGAGTGAGTATAGCCCAGTCTTGATGCAAGTTGATTCTTGGTTAGTAAGCGTGTGCTTTTTTTAAGTATAAGCAAGGCTGTCGACGGCAAGAACTTAAGTCGATGTGGGTCACCTCGGCAGCTCTAGACTTTGCGGCGTCTCTCACTCATCGAAGCTCAGTCAGATGTCTGCATCACTTAATCTAGCTTGTAAAGTCGTAATAAGAACGGCGGAATTATTACTCGATGCTCAAATCGAAAAATTTATATCTGGTACTTTTGCCAGCATTCAGTACAGAAAATACAGTGTTCGGAAAGGGTGCAAATTTTCTTAGACCACAAGTCATTAGATACTCCTGCGGTGTGGTGACCTGAGGGTTTCGAAAGCCAACCGCTAGACTTGCGCTTTGCTTGTGCGGAAAATACACACACGTATAGGCCTGCAAAGTGTCGTAGCGGGCTATTCTTGACTAATGTCAACCATCACTTTGACTTTTGACTGTGCAAAAGTTGCTGTGACTCTTGTGCTTGCAGATGGGCAAGCGTGGATCGTAAAATGAGGCGCAGAGTCAATGCCAATAAATCACCGAAGGTTTTATAGTGGAGTGTCGTGACGCCATCCATCTTAGGGAATGGGCACGAGGTGCGCAAGCAACTGAGACGAAGCATAGCAAATGCCGCATCCGAGACTAGGCTCCGTTGGCAGGGAATGGTGTGACTATATGGTTGTTGAATGCCGGGTGATAGTCAAGGATTCGGGTAATTAGTGTGATCATTCCCATCTTCGTTTGCGCTACTTCTTACTGCCTGTAAGTCGTCAGCTGCGGGGCCGCCTTCTTATTGAAGTATTGCTCGCAATAGATGGTACAAAGATGCATGTAGGAGGAGACAAAGACAGGCGCGTAGTTTGTTCCGGTGACAAGAAGTCTTTAGTCAGACATTTGTGCGCGCTTTGATCCCGACCGTTTCAATCAACAATAAATGTCATAGGTCAAGACTGTCCATAATGAAAAGTTATCTTCTTCGAATAGCTAGATAATGTGTACACTAATAGTCAAGGCACTTCCAATTCTCACCAAGATCAATAAAAGCTTCGATTACTCCTACAACGCCAAATTGACATTCGGATAGCATGACATTGAAATGGTAACTATCTATATAAAAAATCGTAGTCTCTGTATTCGTACTTAGCCCGTTTTGTGTATTATAACTTAAAGCGTCTACAACTTGAATTGTTTTTAATACAATGTTGGCATTAACAATATTTAGTTTTGCACCAATTCAATTAATTATAATATCGATTTCTTTACACTAAATTGTTAGTTGACTTGTTGCCAAATTGCGTTAATTCGCGTATCATGTGAATGGCATCGCCAACTGAAATGGTCGGATCGCCTGCTACTATGCGTTTCGGCAGGTTCGTAGCCGTCAAGATGTGAGCTACTCGACTTTTGGCATTGGCAATGGCAAAGTGCACTTTTCGTTTTGCCAGTTTTTCCTGTGTGTCTGATAACACTTGAATCGTTGTGGCATCCATGTCATTCATGTGAATCGTATCCAAGACCACACCACGAGGATCTATCCCTAAAATGATCAGCCGCTGCATCTCTCGATCAATAAATTGAGGTACACACTCACAATTGGCAAAGTAGAGAGATCTCTCAACACGAATTGCAATGATATCACTCAATTGAGTTGATTGTGGAAAATTGTTACGGTCAACAAAATGACCATTTTCCATTTCACCCAAAATAACAATAGGATCTACTTTTGATTTCCACATAAGTACCAGGATACAACAGAGAACAGACGCAATCAAGCCATTGAGTACACCAAGACCCAAAGTAGATGCAAATGACGCTGACCATACAACAAACTCATCACGTTTAACATGATACAACCACTTGGCTTCACGAAATTCAACGAGACTCCAACCTGCCACAATAATTATTGATGCCAGTGTCGCGCTTGGTAAGTAATATAATGTACTCGTGAGTGTGTACAATGCAAAAATCACAATAAGACATGTGATAATTGATGCTAATTGAGTATGAGCATTTTGTAAATTTACAGCAGTACGGGACATTCCACCCGTGGGGGGTACACCTTGAAAGAAACCGCATATGACACTAGCTATCCCAATGCCTGTGAGCTCTTGTTTCGTATTTATATCTTCACCACGCTGAATAGCAAGACGTTTGGCCATGGCGATACTTGATAAAAAGACAACGATGGAAACAGTGACAGTATGGTACATGATAGTACCAAAGCGGTCACTGTTAATTAAATGGGATGTAAAGCCGTACCATGGTAACTTTGGCTCAGGGAACCCACGAGGGATCTCACCTGTGAGTTTTAAGTGGGTTGGGCCTAGTACATAGCCAACTATTCCACCAAAAATACAGACAAAGAGAGGGCCGAGATCACAAAATGTGCGCAAGAAAAACATCGCAGGAAGTGACTTGGACGACTGTTCTATCTTGTGGACATCCTGCTCGTTCTGAGGAGTTTGTTGAGTCTGATATGTCCTAGATTGCTGACCTGGTGACATGTCTGGTCTAATGTTGGATGTACGTTGTCCAATATTCTCGTCTTCCTCGACCTTTTTCTTCTCAGGCGATTTAACTTGAAAAAGCTGCATGATCACTGGTGATGGAAACATACGCTTTTTTACCTTTTTCACTAAAATCAGGTAAAGGATCGAAAGAACAGCCACAGCACAAGCGTTTAAGTTTGTATCACCCAAATTTTCGAGAATCTGGACCACTTTAGCGGGTGGAAAATCTTGAGACTTTAACTTTAGACCCAACGCATTCGGCACTTGTGAGAGCATAATAAGCAATCCACCAGCTGAAATAAACCCACCCATAACCGGACGCGAGAAAAAGTCCGCAATTTGACTCAGATTGAAGATTCGGACCAATAGTAGAATACAGCCACTAAGAAATGCCATAAAAATGCTCGTAGCTACACGTTCGTCTTCGTTCTCAATCTTCTCGAGCGTCGAGCCTACTAGCAACGAGACTTCCGAGCCACTGGCTACCGATAATACAGTGCTTGAGCCAAAGATGGCGTAGATCAATGGGGCTAATGCAGCTGTGTATAATCCATGGTGCGCTGGCAAATGCATGATCGTAGAGAGTGACACTTCTTGTGGTATGAGCATCATTGCGACGGTAATTCCAGCCACAACATCGAATTTGAGGTCACGTTGGATGCTGTATTGAGGTAGCCAGCGAAAAATAGGTGCGTAGTGCTGCATCCTTTGCTGCCATGTGCGTTCAAAACAGTCATCGGCTCCAGAATGTGATTGCGTTATGAAGAGCGTACGGAGCCAAGACATGGGAAGCTGTGAATTGTACTTTCGGACCTAACGCAAAATCTCAAAATACTGTCTTTGATTGAGATACGTTTATCAGGATGCTTTAATGTACAGTTTAAAGTCATGAGCCTGATCATGGAATTGAAGATTCCATGTGATATTGTGACCAATAAATGGTTGGCTTCAAAGTCCAGCGATCGAATACATTTCATTTTTAAATTATAGTTTAGTTATGCGAAATGGCTGCGATATAACCAGAACAAATGTTTAGTAAGCTGGCCATATGGAAAGGTCGAACTATTTTACGAGGATGCAGGCTTCAAAATTCCTTCTGTTTTAGTCACGGGATCAATACTATCGCTTAATAAATAATTGATCATTGATATTCAGTTATGTATAAAAATGGTTCAAAAGAGCGTGCCAACAAACTGATCAAACTATATTGCATATGGTAAGACTACGTCTCTTTAAATTTATTATTGCACACATGTACAAATCGACATTATGTTGATTAGTAAAAGGCAGATTATCATTTTTATTGCTCGACTTTTATGGGTTTGACACCATTTCACCGCACGTTTAGCGAGATTTCCAATGACATTACTCGAAAGATGTCGTGAGTGTTCCAGCAATAATATGCGAGCAGTCAATTTCTAACTTGGAGTGCTGAGAAATCACAGCAATTGTGCTGGAAATTGTGAACTTCAGAAAATATTTTACTTTCCAAACACGCGAGAGAAAGGCTAAAGCTTCTTTATCACAGAAGTGTACTCGAGAATGCAAATTCTTTAGCGTGTAATTCATTCGGTTTTTAACACTGGAAAATGCTTACATCTTGTGCGAAAAAGACTATTTGCATGTAAGCACCACGCTTAGCAGCCGTAAAACTACATGTAAAGTTGTCACTCTTCTCGTGATAATCATTAGCTAACACAGCACATGACGGCGACACTTGTTCGTACCACCTGGCGACTAGCGGCATGGTCACAAGTTTGTCTCACGCCTTGATTTCTTTATTTCATT